TTTTTTTTTTTTGTCGTTTTTCAGCGCATAGAACGCGCGTACGAGTGAAGTTTCTAGATGGGTTAAACAAAACAAAAGACTTGACAAATATTGAGATTTACATCCATAGAAAGGTTCTATTGTTTCAGGAATAATTAAAACACACCTTATCTTTTCTGTGTAATTTCGCAGCTTATTGCCTATTTAGCCGGGTCAAGATTGGTGAATAAGTTTTAAAACAAAAAGGACTTGTCAAGGTTATGTTATTTGACTTGAAATAGGATAAAAACGCAAAATCTTTGTGATCAGCGTAAATTTATCTCGCAGTAAGTGTTCCAATAGTCGGTATACTTTGCCGGCTGCGAAAGTGAAATTATGGTCGAGTTAATGGATTCCGGATGGTGATTTCCCACACTTAATTGTATGATGTTTGCGCTCTCTTTGCCTCAAGCCCAATCCATTGGTTGTTAAAAGTAATCATATTGAATTGTTGACTCTTCATGTTAGCGTCCGATTGAAAGGTGGTTTTCGTATGTGATATTAATTGGCTCATAAATCTTCATGCAAGAAATATTAGATGGCATAAAAAATAGCAATTTATACACTTTATGTGTGGAAAATGCGTCTACAGTCACGTTGATGCTGTATCATCAATTGAAGTCCTTAACCCCTTGGGAATAGGACCTTATTATGTATATTAATCGTATGTTTTTGCCAGAACATGCTGCAAAATATCTCAACATTTCATCCTTCTCGGTTCTTTGAAATTGCGACTATAGAATGTTCCAAAAACTGACTCGGTGTAGTCTACACTTCATTAAGGATATTTATTTAAGTGCGGACTTCATTAGTACAGCTGTCAGTGACGCGCGCGATTAGTCTTTTCGTGCGTGGATACTATCCATGGTTGCCCTAGAAATCACCTTTCAAAATTCCCTGACTTTTCCCTGATTAAAATCCAATTTCCCTGACCAAGTAAATACAGAATGTCAGACACAGAAGCGGTTTCTAGCCTCATTTTACAGCCATCCTTTGCACTCGATCATTAAGACCGATAAGTTTTCAATAAATGTTCCTTCTTCATTAAGGAAAAATATCGTTGAGATCAATGACTCCAAATGGTCCTTCCAGCCTTTAATGACATTAAATCAGCCATGTGAAATTATTTCAATTTTCCCCGACTTCTCTTCAAATTGCCAATTTTCCTTGGCTCAAAATAAAATTCTCTGACTTTTCCCTGACCTTGAAGAAAATTTTTTCCGACCATTTCCTGCCCTGTGGCAACTGTTGGTTTTCCTTTCTTTTAAGTCCTCGAAACCGTGCGTTTATTACGTATTCCTTGAAATTTGGAATTGTGAATCCTATTCTGAGCCCTTTTTGTAATCGATTTGTTTTTTCGTTACAGTTTGAAAAATCTAAGTTCAGGATATTGTTTTAGTTCAGGATGAGTTTTATCTGGATGCCTTCTTAGCGATTCTGACAAATAAAATTAAAATCGAGAAACTTAAATCTAAGTCACAAATAAATATGTAAGAAAGCCACCTGATGTAGCTAACTTCCTAAATGAAAGTAATGTAAGATATTAATAAATTGTAAATAATGTCAATATTGTGAGTTTTGTTAGTATTGTTAAATGGTAAGTTGTGTTAGCACTGTGAGAAGAGCAGGTGATTTTTGTATTAAAAAATAACACTTTTGCCTTTTTTTAAGAATGAGCTAATGTAACTATTGACACGTCAGTGAACGTTTGATTTCTACCATTCTGCTGCGATATGCTTTCACATTTTGATTCGCATTAAAGGCAGCTTCCCAGTGAACAAATTAACTTCTTATTTATACCACTCTCCTTTCAACAGAAATCTCTCAATTTTTATTAATGAATTTATCTCTCAAATACTTAACTCATCTTGACAATGTACAATATCAACGTGAAAATATATGGCTTGATAAATTTCTAAAGACCATAAAACCCTTCATTTCAGTTAATCTGCAGTCGCACACGCAACCAATCACATAACAAAACAACAATTCAACTTTACAACAATAATAATTTACATTTTCTTCTTCCTCGCGTATCGCGCGTGGGCTGCGAGCATTCCTTCCTCTCTGTGGATCGTCGCGCGAGAAGAGAGAAACTCGCGAGAAAGTTGGCCTACTCTCGCACGTTTTCCCTTCAAGTTCGAGGTTTGCATTGACATTCGTGACTTGTCGAAGGCTACGTCAACTAGGAGAATAACACCGAAATCACCCGGCTTAATAAGTTATTAAGATAGGGCGTCCATTTTACAGTAGCATCAAATGTCCTTGAAAATGGTTGCTCCTTATTGCTTGTAGTGGTACTGAGCACACCACTACTTCAAATATAGGATGCATTGCTGATTCTCTCTGCGATAGAGTTTCCATTGTTTTCTCGCCCATTTGATAATTAGACCCTTTGGAATATACAAAGGTAGGTAAAATGTTGATAAAAATTGCAAAACCAACTGTTAAAAATACAGTCTGCTTGCCTATCAACATCTGCCTCTCAACATCTGACAAAGATAAACAGAATAACATGACGTTACGGCGGTCATGTTGACGTGCTAACTAACTGCGAAATTAGTGTTTGGAAAATTAGTCCTGATACAGCTGTATCGAGAAAAGTTGTCCTACAAAAGAATTAAGGCGCACGCGACAATGCCGAAAAGTATGGTGGGTAATGGGGGGTTCGCGGTCGCGCGTATCACTTGATCGGCGAAGCTCAGTGTTTCAGTGCGAGAACCAAAGAAAGCAAGACAGACAGACAGACAGACAGACAAACAGACAGACAGAAAGAAAGACAGACAGACTGACACGGTATTCATATTTTTTCTTCCTTGTTGCTGAAACAACATCAACGTAAATCCAGTAACGATAAACTATTACTACCCA